TTTTTTTCTAACAAGTGCTCTCTGAATCTTTCCAAATCTTTCAGTTTTATCACAGACCACACTCAGTCATCTGACATCATCTCAGCCTCAGCCAGACTAACCCCTTTCTTCCAGTTATCTCCTCCTTATTGAATATAAATGTGTTATTACTTGGTGAGCCGTGCTCATAATCCAACCGCTGTAGTGTGCGAGTATTTATCTGTGTGCACAACTTCACCAGCTGCTGGGAAGAGATAAAGTAACTTCACGGATCAACCTGGGATCAGGTCAAATGCAGAAATTGAAACAGCTGCTTAAGAAGGCAGAACCAATGTGTAAGCTGCCATTAAAGCACATACAGAAACACATGGTAAGATGGCAGGAAGTGAACACAAATGTGTGCTTAATACACTATGGGAAGTTTTTTTTAATTTTTTTTATAACACTCTTGCATGAGCGGGGCCGGCTGTTACCCCAGCAACAAGCTAACAGGAAAACTGATACATTGCTGGAAGCTAGCTGATAACCACGTGTGATTTTTTTGTAGACCAGTTGTCTCATGGTCTTGTGCTACCATACCGCCTAGTGTAATGAGAGGATTGGGTTGGAACAAAGCCTCCTTGTGTCATTGGTATGTAATATCCTTCAGGCCTAATATTTGGGATAAAGTAGATTATTCTATCCTTGTTTTTCTGTTCTGAAATTCCCTTGGTCAATACTGTTTTTATGGTGACATAATGTTCCTTTATTGGAGCTCGCTGCTATATCGTATTTTGCTATCGGCTTGACGACTGTTTAGCGAAGCAGTTGAACAATACTCTTCCATTATCAGCACAGCAAATGCAGCAAAAACAGATGCTGACATTTCCTTGGCTTACCTGTCACTGTCTGACATTTACACCTCTGACTGCTGCCAGCCAATGTTGTTGTGTGTAACAGCTGGATAAGAGAGCCACTGGACAGAAGGAATCAGATTTGTTCCCGCCGAGGTTTTGATTAACTGTGCGCGGGGTCTTGAAGATAGTGCGGGGGCTTGCGCTGGCGTGTAGGTCAGATTTATGGACAAGCAGCATGGTGCAGAGAGAGATGGAGGCAGTTGCTATGGAGACCAAAGTGGGCGAGTGCGCACTTCTGTTGTGCTGATATTTGGATGTCCTTCAGATACATCGTCTGATGAAGGTGTCGGGTTCATGTTTGAAGGGTTACGACTATACATTCAGTGAGAGGTTGGAAGCACAAAAAAAACAACACAGGCTGGGGTTGTGTGGTGCAGTCACCCAGTCGGCACCCCACCCTTTCCCTAAGCCTCCACCCATCCCCTTCCAGTCCTCGTGGGCAGTATCAAAGCTCAGTCCTACAGCTTTGAATGAAATCGAACAAATGTTGAAGGACTTTCTCTTTAAGGTAGTGATGAATAATTTCCTCACTTATAAAAGGAAGTTGACGGTTGTATCATCTAATAATTAACTATTTTAGTCTAATTTGCCTCTCGGGAGTCCCTCCCTGTCTCTTTTTTAGTCTCACACACACACACACACACAGAGAGAGAGACACATATTTCCCTGTGTGAACAGGCTTTGTGAATGATCACCAGGGTTGGTGAGAGGCTTGCTCTCATCCACATTATCTCACGCTCAAGTTTGTTCAACCATTGTTGACAGGATTTCCTCTGGTCTCCCCGTTTTCCCGTACTACCAGCACTTCTCTATTCAGTCGTCTTTTAACTGGGATACAAAGCCTGCTGTAAAATGACCACCTCGTACTTCCACTTCCTTCTTCTGTCTGAGTTCTACTACATTTAGACCTGTATGTCATTTTTTAGTAATGCCTCTTTTTCCAGCTTAAGGCATCCTGTTTCAGTTGTATGAAAGAAAGCACATGTAAATGAACCAGAAACTGATTGGTATCCACAAACATTTCACCTGTAAGACTACTGTGGTGTATCATCCTCGTGCTGACTGAGAATCCGACCCAGATGGGGGATGACACAAGACATTCCAGATGACAGTACTCTGTGACACACTGTCCAAACACGCCGGCTCGGCTGTCCCAGCACCCACACACAAGCAAGGCCCTTGCTTTGTTGTTGTTGCGCAAAGCCCGGCCTTTTGAAGGGGTCCAGTCATGCCCCTGTGATGCCTGGGTAGCTCATTCAGCCTGAGACACAGCAGGGTGTGGCAGAGCTCATCTATAGGCCAAAGATACACAACCAGGGCACACTCCTGACGCCCTCCGTCACCTCCCCAGAGACACCTAGATTAGGGGGCAATAGACTTTCAGTAGTTACAGGAAGTTGTCAGAAACATCTGTCTAATGAATAGCAAGAGATCACATGTTCTTCCCGAGATGGATCAGATTAAGGTTGAAATATAACTGCGCACCATGTAGTTCTCATCATTACTCCACATCTGTGCAAACGCTCATATTCACTGGATGTTTAGACAGCGAATGATTCATTTCATCTCGCTGCTCTGTACGTATATGGACATCTTGCCTTCTCTTCTTGTCGCAAGTGACTGCGCTGGTTGGAGGGAAAAATACACGTTACCAAACAGGAATGCTGAGGAGTTGCCATTAGTTGGACTTTACCACAAGTATTCCCAACCACAGGGGCGTCTGGAGAGAGCGTGTGTGTGTCCTCACTGGATAACTATCGTGGACTTTTATTTTTCTTTGCTGGATGTGTATTGGATGACTCAGCAGTCAGGTCATTAATTTAGGCTTCATTCATGCCCAGTATACAGCTGTTCACCTCCTGTGTTTTTCTTTTTTGTGCTGCTGTGACGTCATACAGCAAAGATAACCAGATAATAACCCTGGAACCTTGGTGTACTGGTTGTTTTTATTCATTTTGGCATTTTTACTTCTTTCAAAGCCACTTCCCACTTAAATGAGACATATGATTAGTCACTCAGTCACCTTCATGTTCACACAAACCCTTAAACATGGTGAGTTCAAGTTTGTTTTACCTCTATAGACTGACAGTGATTGAGAGTTTTATGCATTCCTACGTGCTCAAGTGTTGACTGTAATACTTTTTCTTATTCATTCAGTCTACCTTACACGGGACAGTGTGTATGTTCAGCTTTCTGAAAAGAGATTTATCAATCACAGCAAATGTTACACATTCACACAAGTATTCATTGAAGGAGTAAACCGTCTTTGCAGATTGTCTCAATGTTGTGTCTCCAGAGAGAGAAACTAGGACAGATATTGTCCTGAGAGGGAAATGATGTCAAGCTGGGTAATCAATCATTTGTCTTAACAGTCTCTGTTTCTGACTCTGTCTTGTGTGCTCTATTATTATCCCATCTGTCTAGATTTCATATTAGAGAAAACATATTTGTCAATCCAGGCAAGGCAAACTTTATTTATGTAGCACACACACACAGAAAATTCAATGTAGTTTACATTTTTTTTAAAAAGAAAGCAAATACAACCTTACATGGGGTTTCTTATATGATGTAAACATGTTTGTTTCTTTGCTTGTATTGCTTCAGATGATCTTTTAACAAGTTTCACTATGGCAACAGCTAAAACAGGAACTGTTACTGACTTGTAGCTGTGGTGTAGGAAATGTAAATATTTCTGGTACTCTGTTCTCATTTAGACTTTGACTCTTTGGTGGAATCATGGGTGGGTGTGAAGTCAGTCATCAGAAAAGACAATAATGTCTGAATCTGTGTTTGAAATCATGGCCAACAGTCAGTGTGAAATTAGTGATTTTTTTCTGTCAAAAATCTCCAATTAAATCTCTTACATCACCCTCGTGTGTCATTTCTGGTTTCAAAAAGCCAAGATGGCGACTTCCAAAAAATGTGCATCATTAAACGCATATGGTAAACACATGCTTAAGATCAACATGTTAGCTTTAGCTACAGCCTTACATAGGTAGCATGCTGTAGACTCTTAGTCTTGTTTATTTAAGCTGAAGCTTGTAAAAGGTTCATACATATGTAGGCCTATTTTAAACTATCTGCCATCTTTGTTCATAGGATTTTTAGTTTTTTTACCCCAAACAGCCCCATTTGTCCTATCCTCATATAGGCTAAATGAGCTGGGAATGCTGTGATTTAAGTGGTATAAGTTGCTGAGTGTAATAACAACTGTGTTCACCTTAAAGGCCAGGTCGCTGTTTATATAAGGGCTGTCCCCATGACGACCACATTACTGGCCATGTTGAGCCAAAATAAATTATTGATGGATGGATGTCAAGGAAGTTAGGAAATTACAGACGAGCACACACATTCTTATCACAGTTGTTTATTCGAGATATTGCAAGATATGTTGTCGTTGGGGAGACGAGACCTTAGACGACTCCAGCCCTCACCTGAAGTGAATTGTTAATACAGAGTTTTAAAGTGAAGGGACGTTTCTCACGATGGAAGTGGAAAAGGAAGGAGGTTGAGATATTGCAGATAACATCAAGCATGGGGGCTCCTCAGATAAAAGTGTAACTGGAACAGATTCCCACAACCATCATTTGTGTCATTCCTAGTGTACAGTGGTTTAAAAAAAGTAGCTCATAACTGGTGCTTGCTTTTGCTTCTTAACAATGTTTTCCCTGATGAATTTATGTGTGTTAGCCAAGCAGTGCAGTGAGATCAATGGAGGTAAAAACAGATGTTATGTGCAACATTTTCTATCAATTTTTTGGTTCTATAAAAACTTGGAGGATGAGGTGTGTCTCTGTGAAATGGATGTGACCTCTTTCAATTGGTGGCGCAGGATCACACTGACACATACAGCAAAAAAAGAAAGACAGAGAGGGCAAGGGAGCAGAGACAAGGAAATCGGATGAATTGAAAATGGAGTGAGAACTGAACAAAAGACCAGATGGGCTCTCAGAAACTGTTGCTGTCAGGGACATGAAAAGAGGAAGAGGGGGAGAGAGCGGGACATTGGGAGGGAGGGAGGGAGAGGAGGATAATCAGCCAGAGAGAGGGAGAGATCACCTTCTTCTTAACCATTAATATATGTAGAGACAGGAAGAGGGGGAGAGAATGAGCAAGCGAGGCTGAGGCAGGGCGGGAGGGGAGGTGGGGCAAGTGTGGAAGAGGCAGAAGGGTGTGTGCTCACATGAACCACTCGTGCCCTTCTGCGTGTGTGCCACTAGTCAGAGTGTCGTTCGGTCAAAGAATAGAAAAGTTAGGGCAAAGTCTGAGTCAGCTCCAGCTAGACACTCACAGCAACTCCCTCCACAGTGACAGGTTTCTTCTCTCTCTCTTTTTGACTGCTCTCTCTCGCTCTCTCTCTCTCTCTCTCTCTCTCTCTCTCTCTCTCTCTCTCTCT